ACTTGAGAGTTCATTAGAATACTTTCAAGTTAGTGATTAATTTAAAATTTAGAACAAACTATCTTATTGGCCACTAAACTATGTGGTTGATTTTATTCTTACTACTAAATACATTTTATATCAAATAAATCATTGAACTTTTAATCTAGTTTCGATCAATCTAGAATTTAACATAAATATATCTTTTATCGACCATAAAACTAATACTTAACTTGATTTATCGTGCCACACCTGAAATGACCATTCAACTCAGTTGGAGAGCACAAGGCTCTTAACCTTAGGGTCGTGGGATCGAGTCTCACGGAGGACATTTCATAATTCAGAGGTCTACTACGGAAGCTTCTCTTTACTTGGCGTTAGGGGCAGCCTACTATCCTACCTCCCCTTACCTCATTACATATGAGAATAAGGGTCAGCTAATTTTTTTATCGTGCCACACCTTCACTCGAGTCCAAGTTTTCAAATCCCCTTATACTCATTATTATTTTGCAAATATATTGTAACAATTCTAATTTAACCCAAATACTATAAATTTTTGTCAAACATGAAACAAAACTTAACTTGATTCAATCGTTAAATCACTGTGCCTATACCTAGGTCTTAGGTTCAAATTACCTCAAACTCGTTCTTGTTTTCCTTAACTAGGACTAAATTGATATCATATGTAAATATTGAAACTTATTCGTGTAATCGTGACTTGATTAAAACCAAGACTTCATTGACGATAAAATTATTTAATGATTAAAATATAATAACTCATGGTTTAATGATAAACAAAATAATTATCTTAAGATTTAAACCCTAATTTAAAAGTGTCTGATGTAATTAAACCTATATATCACATCAAGTGGTCCTAAACAACATCAACTAGTACTAACAACAGATATGATTAAGATTTTGATGGCGAACTTAGAATCTAACTTAATTAATTTTCAATCATCAACAAGCTACATTGAAAATGATAGATACTGGGCACATAACCTACAAAACTTTTCAATAACAACGGCGTTTGCCTATATTCCCCTCGGTTTCTAGCAGAGCTGTTGTACTTTGCATCTGACCATACCTGAGATTTATATATGTTTCTTTTAAGTCAAATTTCAAGTTGGGAGTTTTATATATAAAAGTCTGCGTCCCTTCCATGGTCACAAAACCATTTCAAGTCATTTTCAGTCAACAAAGTGCAGCACCACTTCTCCATATTAGGTCGATCTATGATATTACTTGCCATAAATAACACCAAAACCATGTGTTTCAATCAATATCATCTACTTTTCAGTTTAAGTCGGATTGTAGTTTCGGTCCCTCGACTACCTAAAATTTAGGATTAAGTCCTATGATTTCTTTTGACCAATATATGTGCATTACTTGGGAAAAGAATCTTATACAAATTATTTGGTATTGAAGTATACAAGAAACATCATCCACCCACGTTGGGAGATGAGGTTTGGCGTCTAGAGAAGATCGGTAAAGATGGGGTATTCCACAAAAGGCTAGCCTCCGCGTGCATTAACACAGTGCAGGACTTCTTGAAAATGTGGGTGGTCGATCATGCCAGGCTTAGAACTGTAAGTATTTGCAATCACTTGTAATTTCGCTAACAGTGTATAAAATTGTTATACAGCTAATGTATCAAACATATATGAACTCTTCTTATATATGATCATAAATAACTTGTTTTGTAACCGCGTTGAAGCAGATTTTAGGAATCGGAATGTCTGAGAAAATGTGGAGCGTCACAATCAAGCATGCCAAGACTTGTGTCATGGGAAACAAATATTATGTTTTTGGAGGATCGAATTGCAGAATCTGGTTGAATCCCATTTGCCAAATTCTTAAAGCAGAGATTAATGGGAGTTTTTATCCTACTCACAACCTCAGTGGTAATAACAAAGTATGTGTCTGACACCCCTCAATGTTTAGTAGCCAAAAGGGTCCTATCTAAGCTGAACTAGATCGGATAAGATCCCATTTTGGAGGATAAGTTCTCCCAGCTTAAGGGGTATTGAGTTCATTTATCACTCGATCCAATAGGACATTGGTTACTAAACTAAATATTCTGTTAATGTATTTTGGGTCTTAAATGTCTACTAGTCCTAATGGCATTTCCATTTGCAGGCATACTTTGAAAACTTGGTCAGACAAGCATACGCAAATTGGTCTTCCTTGGAAGAGAGAGAAGAAATTTCCAATGAAATTGGCCTTCTCACACAAGGTAATCCCTTTTCCAAGGAGCACAAGCTAGTTCTTTTATTAGTGTCTGGCTAGTTGATGTTCTGAGACCCTTTTAGTAATGTTTTATATGTAAATTTTTATACAGGGGATCATGTGGTAGACCCCTACCCCAATCATCAACAAACCATGGTGAGATCATTCCAACAAAATGCGTATCTCACCAATTGTTCGATGGAGGGATATTTTCCGGGCGAAATGCAAGCAGACGGCGGTAACTGGGAAGCGAGTCGGACGTATTTCAACACCGTAAACGAAAATGGGGTCGGAATAAACATATTGAAGTCGAATTCAGAAGACGATTTGACGTCCCCGAGATCCTTTATCACAGGGGGTTGAAGGTGAATTATGCATCACTGCATGGAAACGAACATTTGCCAACAATGAGAGTGGTCAGATATGATCATCTATTCATATCTAAGTTGCAAGTGTACTTCTTTTTCCCTTTCCCCCTTAGTTCCAATGCTATCTTCTAAGTTCTAAGCAACTGATAGTCATTGTAAATAATAAGTATTTGGCTGGTATTATATTCTTTAGATGTCCGATAACTCTTTAAGGATTTATCACTCGAATGTACACCTCCCACGCATATTCGAACCTATGACGTTCTCTTACAGGTATTACTTTTACAATCATTGTCCCTTTTAATCTAAAAATATTTTTTGGGGAAAAAAAAGGAATAAGAGGCCCTTATACTTTTGTAAAAAAACCAATGTGGCCCTCGTATTCTTTTTCCTTTCAATGTAGTCCTCCAATTCAAAAAACAATTCTAATGTGGCCTTTTTACCAACTTTTTTCGTCGTTTGACCGTTATGGTGCTGACGTGGCGGATTACGGTACTGAGTGACAGTCTATTTTTCATGTTTGAGTTATCAATTTAGCTCATCTGTCATGTTATCTGTCACATTATCAACCACTGTGGATTGCCATGTCAACACTGTGGATTGTCACATCAGTATCGTAACGATCAATGATGAAAAACGTTGGTCAAATGGTCACATTGGACTTATTTTCTGAGTTGGAAGGACACATTGAGCGAAAAATAATATGAGAACCACATTGGTTCTTTTTCCCAAAAGTATACGGACCTCTAATGCATTTTTGTCAACAAATTTCATATAAAAGGTTACGATTTCAAATAAAAATGTACTTTTAGGTGAAAAATACTAATTAAATTTATTGATATATAATAATTAAATTTATCAAATCATTATAAAATAATTTTTAAATTTATTGAATTGTTTTAAAATGATAATGAAGTTTTATCAAAATTTTATAATTATTATAATATTATCGTGATAGTTTTATGATAATTTAATAAATTTAATAATTATTTAATAATTTTTAAATATTTAATAATTAAATATTTTACTCTTAAACTATTTATAAGTATAAATCGAAAAGTCGTTGATAAAACTTGAAACCCGGTGCCGCTTTTAATGTTTGGGTTTCCTTTTAGGTGATTTTCCCGATATATCACTGGTGACCGGTAATATTACTGATCTAACACCGGTCAGACTATATTTCTTGATCTAACACCCTTAGCAGTAAAGCGCCCTCTGCACCGCGCTATACGATGATTTGGCGCCACGTGGAGTATAGCGCGCCCCCTGCACCGCACTATACGGTGAGCTGGCGCCACGTGGGTATAGCGCGGTCCCTGCAGCGCGCTATACGCCACGTAGGGGTATAGTGCGGATCAGGTACCGCGCTATACCTTTACTCCTGACATAATTTTGTATAGTGCGGATATGCCTCATCTCTGTGACTATGGGTATTACTCATCAATAAATAATGGTGAGTTATCTTTAGGCATGGAGTTTTCAAGCAAAGAAGAAGCGATGATGGCTATCAAAAATTACAATATACGTAATTCTGTTCAGTCCAGAGTAGACCGCTCCACGACCGAAAAATATGTATGCTACTGTGCCCAGCGCGAAAACAGATGCAATTGGATGGTTTGCGTATCGAAGAGGAAGAGGAAAAACAACAGATGGGAACTAACAATATACAACGGTCCTCACACATGTTGTGCTGGAGGGGTCAACCAAGATCATCCCAACTTGGACTCTGAAGTGATATGCCAAGCCATCATGCCCATGGTCAAAGCAAGCTTTCATATAGCTATTGCAGTGTTGATTTTAGCTATACAATCGCAGTATGTGTACACTGTCTCCTATAAAAAAGCTTGGTTGGCAAAACAAAATGCCATTGTCAAACTTCATGGCGAATGAGATGTATCTTACAACGAACTTCCAGGTTAGTTTAGGCTGGTGCGAACGTTGAATCCTAGGACAATTGTGGACTTCGAAACCTCCTATGCATACCATAATGATCGAGTTCTTCGCGATCGATGCCAACTCTACCGAGTTTTTTGGAGTTACCCACAGTGCGTTAATGCTGTCAAATACTGCAAGCTTGTGGTCCAGATCGACGAGACTTTCTTGTATGGAAAATACAAGCAAGTTTTATTATTGGCAGTTGTCCAAGATGGCAATCGCAACATTCTTCCAGTTGCTTTTGCTCTTGTCGAAGGAGAAGATACAACTTCTTGGGCTTTTTTCCTCCGAAATTTACGGGCACATGTTATCACGAGGGAAAACATCTGTGTCATTTTAGATCGCGGAGCTGGGATCAAAGCAGCAATGGAGTCTTTGGGTCCAATGTAGCAACCACCCTTTGTCTAACATAAGTATTGTCTTCGACACATTGCCGCTAACTACCATGGAAGGTACAAGAAGAATGATGAGCGTCAATTAATTGTGCGCATGGGTAAGTGAAACTTAGCAAGAAGAATTGATCGTGGAGCTAGGATCAAAGCAGCAATGTAGTCTTTGGGTCCAATGTGGCAACCACCCTTTGTCCTCAAGCGTGATCGTGCACTCTCCGCACGGAAGATGGAATGTGTGGGTCTCCGGCCTCCACCGCTATACTAAGGCAGAAATCAGGTCTGGCTCTATCTTACAGTGACCCTGATATCTACCTATGTAACCGAATTCAGCCTCTACTAAATACGGCAAGACACGGCTGGGTATCACTAACTTAAGATTCCTAATAAAAGGATCTAATACACGACCATTCTCCTAAAAATAAATAATTACAAAAATTAATTCTTAATCTAATAATCATGTATTAAATGAATCAACTAATTATTACTAATAATTTAAATTAAATTAAAACGTTAAAATATTACCGTATCAGCAAAGTGTCGAGATATTTAATTCTTAATCTAATAATCATGCATTAAATAAATAACTAAATATTACTAATAATTTAAATTAAATTAAAACGTTAAAATGTTATCGTATCAGCAAAGTGTAGATATATATGATTTTCATCCGAGCGAAGTAGACTGTCTTCCATTATATATCTGCAAAAGAATTATATTAGTAAAATATTAAATAAAGTAAAAACATAATAGTAAAAATATTATAAAATATACCTTAAAAAGAGAGTATTTGAGAGAAATTTAGAGAATTTGAGAAAATTTAGTGTGATAAAAGTGATTAAGGATGGGGACGTGAGTAATTAGGGGTATAGCGCGCCCCCTGCACCGCGCTATATCCCACGTGTCAGATATACAAGTATAGCGCGCTGCAGGGGCCGCGCTATACCCACGTGGCGCCAGCTCACCGTATAGCGCGGTGCAGGGGGCGCGCTATACCTCACGTGGCACCAAATCATCGTATAGCGCGGTGCAGGGGGCGCGCTTTATTGCTAAGGGTGTTAAATCGGGAAATATAGTCTGACCGATGTTAGATCGATAATATTACCGGTCACCGGTGATATATCGGGAAAATCGCCTTCCTTTTAATGTTTTTTTGCTCTGATAAAGTGTTTGGACCATTATGCGTAAATGAAACGGTTTATGAAGGAGTGAAGAATGTTGCTTTGTCTGCTTTGGGAGGCATAAGTGGTATTTCAATTCTGATGATTGTTTATTAATTGTTTGTTTTCCCTTTATTGAACACTTGAAATTATGTAATTTCTGATACAGCTACTATATTTGCATATGGCCAAACCAGCAGTGGGAAGACATACACGATGAGAGGAATAACAGAGAAGGCTGTTAATGACATCTACCAGCATATAATGAATGTGCGATTCAGCTTCCCTTGAAGTTTTAACTATTTTTCTTGTTGCCCATAATTTGATTTGGAGTTTGGATTTTATATGTTTCCTCAATTGTTTTGTTTTCTATTTGAAATTGCTGCAGACACCAGAGAGAGATTTTACCATTAAAATTTCGGGACTAGAAATTTATAATGAGAATGTTAGAGACCTGTTGAATTCTGAATCTGACCGTAGTCTCAAGCTTCTAGATGATCCGGAGGTAATGGCTGTTATTTAAGCACCTATGATTTCAATCCTCCTCCAGTCATTTACAAGATTTTTGTCTGTTTAATCTGCTTGCAGAAAGGTACTGTGGATGAGAAGTTGGTGGAAGAAACAGCCAGCAATGATCAGCATATAAGGCATCTAATTAGGATTTGTGAAGGTAATTAATGAAGCAATTGATTTGAGTTAGAAGACCTTTTCCCTCTATTAAAAGCGAGTCTAACTGTTTTACTGGCATTTGTTGTAGCTCAAAGACAAGTTGGAGAAACTGCCCTAAATGATTCTAGCTCACGGTCGCACCAAATAATAAGGCTGGTATGAATGAGGATTTTTGTTGGTTTTGTTAGTATATTCGATGCCTTATGGAAGCTAATTCATAAATTTCCTTGGCTTACATTGTAGACAATCGAGAGTACTCTGCGCGAAAATTCTGATTGTGTGAGATCATTTGTTGCAAGCCTGGTAAAAGTGATCATATCCCTTCTATGAGCTGTACAATCCACACTTACTTTACTAGTTGTAGATAGCTGGACAAGTCTTATACAAATATAATAAAAAAGCTGTACGGATTGTTGTTCTGATGACAATATGCTGGGACCAAACTTGCAGAACTTTGTAGATCTAGCTGGAAGTGAAAGAGCTTCACAAATAAATGCTGATGGTGCAAGGCTCAGGGAAGGCTGTCATATTAACCTTAGTTTCATGACCCTGACAACTGTAATCAGAAAACTCAGGTCAGAGTCTATTCTAGCACATTTTCTGTTCATATATCAGTGCATCAGTTTCAAATATAATGAAGTGGTAGAAAAATAATGAATGAACTTCAGAAAGTTACATATTTTAGCATTTGGTATCAACTACATCAACACTTTCAGTTTTATTTTAAGTTCTATTATCATTTTGTTCATGATTGATTGATTTCTTTTTGCAGCGTTGGTAAAATAAGTGGTCATATACCATATAGGGATTCGAAGTTTACTCGAATACTGCAGCACTCACTAGGTGGAAATGCACGTACTGCCATCATATGTACTTTGAGTCCAGCACTAGGTCAATTTGAACAATCTCGTAATACTCTCTTCTTCGCTACCCGGGCAAAGGAAGTGACAAATAATGCACAAGTCAACATGGTACTTATCTTTCATTCCCGCTCTACGAGATTGACAAGGATTTCCAAATGAACTGACAATAATTTTTTGTTTGGAAACTTTGTTAGGTTGTTTCGAATAAGCAAATTGTCAAGCATCTGCAGAAAGAAAACAATCTCGTAATACTCTCTTCTTCGCTACCCGGGGAAAGGAAGTGACAAATAATGCACAAGTCAACATGGTACTTATCTTTCATTCCCGCTCTACGAGATTGACAAGGATTTCCAAATGAACTGACAATAATTTTTTGTTTGGAAACTTTGTTAGGTTGTTTCGAATAAGTAAATTATCAAGCATCTGCAGAAAGAAGTAGCCAGGCTGGATGCTGAGCTTCGCACCCCTGATCCTTCTAGGGAGAAAGACTTAAAAATACAAGAAGTAATCACATTTCGAATAAGCTATTCAGAACCGTCTTCATCTTGAGTCAATTTATTTCATACTTTATATATTGAAGAATAAGTAAATTTAGAATATGGTACTAAAATGAAACAAAAACTAAAGTTTCTAACGGCGGGTACTAAAGTGAAACAAAAACAAAACTTTACGTATGATTTTTAAAAAACTGAAAATTAATATGCTAAAACATACAAAAACTGATAGTTTAAGTATTAAATGCGTAATTTACCTTAAATACTAATATATATTATTTGTCTCAACCGCCAATTTAGGGAAGTGTTGGTCGAAACCCTTGCAAGAATTTAGAAAATCCGATATAAAAATATAAGAAAATCGTGGGGAGCAATAGTTCTCATTGAAACTTCTAGCCAACCTCCTCTAAATTAATTTGACCCACAAAAATACATATATATGTATCACCAAGCTTTGATTCGCCGCCTCTAGCTGCTTCAAGTCCGATCATATTTAAATTTATACTCTTGGGCTTCCTTCCACCGTCGTATTCTTCAATCAAAGCTTGAGTGTTATACATACATATATAATGAGTCTTTAATTACATCAAAGTTTGAATGCGATTAGTTTTGTTGAGTGGAAAAAGAACAATGGGTGAGAAAATGATGTACGATACAATTTTGGCTAGAAGCTTTAGTAAGTATGACCAAAAGAAGTTGGGATATGGAGCATTTCTTGCTTGCTTTCTCGTGGCATTGAGCTTCTGCACGGTCTTCAAGCCCTACTTGAGTCCTTTACCAGTTAGTAAGTTCCCCCATTCGATCTTTTCTTTCTTTTTGCGTGACCTACGTGAAAATATTATAATTATAATTTAGTGAACGTCCCCCGTTTATTTTGTAGTAAATAAGAGTTTGTTCATGGACGTTGATCTGAAAATGCTGAAGATCACTGTTAGGAAATAAACCGAGTACAAGTAATTTCCCTATAACCAGATTAGTGAGAATGCGAAATAAAAGCGGAAAAATAATACCCGAAATTGATAACGGAGTTCAGCCAATTGTGCTTACGTCTCCGGACTGCTGCAGATCTTTTACTAAGAGAGAAAATTTACAGGTGTTTACAAAACACTCACTACTCACAAGAAAACTTTCTAGTATTGGGAGAAAGAAATGATTTTTGGGATGGTTTTAAAGCTAAATGAGCTAGGGTATTTATAGTTGAAACTTAGGGACTAATCTTTGAAAATACCCTAATGTGTAATGACTAAAGTGAATTTACCCATTCCTATTTTCAACAAACATCTACCAAACTTTGAAAAACATTTTTCAAAGAAACATTTACCAAACTTTGAAAACCATTTTCAAAGAAACATTTACCAAACTTTGAAAACCATTTTCAAAGTTGGTTGCCAACCTTTGGACTTTTAACAATCTCCCACTTGAAGACTGATTTTAATCTGTCTTCACACCTCGATCGATGCAGCAGCATTTCTAGTCTTGTTATTCTTGCATGCCAACTGAAGTTGAACACAACTTCAGTTTGTCCGTGGTCACCGTCTTTGTCAACATGTCTGTTGGATTTTGAGCTCCACTGATCTTTTCAAGTTTCAAAATCCCATCTTCCAGAAGAGACCTGATAAAATGATATCGTAATTGTATGTGCTTTGTCTTGGAATGAAAAGACGGATTCTTTGCTAGATGGATAGCACTTTGACTGTCGCAATACAAGACATTGTTTTCTTGTTTCTTGCCTAACTCTTCCAAGAAACTTTGGAGTCAAACCATCTCCTTGCTAGCTTCCGTAACAGCGATATATTCTGCTTCAGTTGTGGAGAGAGCAACTATCTTCTGTTGTTGAGAAACCCAACTCACTGCGGTTCCTCCTAGAGTATAGATATACCCTGTAGTGCTCCTTCTGATGTCAACATTTCCGGCTAAGTCAGCATCTACATAGCCTGTTAGTATCGTATCTCCACCTTTGAAACAAAGTGTTTTGTTTGTGGTACCCCGCATATATCTGAGGATCCATTTGACTGCTTCCTAGTGTACCTTGCCCGGATTATTCATGTACCTGCTAACAGCTCCCACTGCATGAGCAATATCTGGTCTGGTACATACCATGGCATACATCAGACTTCCAATTGCTGAGGCATACGACACATTTACCATGTGTGCACGTTCTTCCTCCGTCTTTGGTGACTGTTCTTTGGAGAGTCTAAAATGAACACCTAAAGGTGTACTTACTGGTTTAGCATCTTGCATGTTGAACCTGAAGAGTACTTTGTTGATGTACTCAGCCTGTGATAACATCAAAGTCCCCGACTTTGTGTCTCTCTTGATCCTCATCCCAAGAATCTGCTTTGCAGCACCCAGATCCTTCATAGCAAACTGCTTCGACAATTTTTGCTTCAAGTGTATAATCTCTTGCATGTTTGAGCCTGCAACGAGCATGTCATCAACGTACAACAATAAAATAATAAACCTATTACCGAACCTCTTGATGTAGCAACAATGATCTGCTTGGCACCTGGTAAAACCACTGCTACCCATGAAGCTATCGAACTTCTTGTACCACTGTCTAGGAGCTTGTTTTAAACCATACAAGCTCTTCTTCAACCTGCATACCAGGTTTTTCTTGCCTGCCTCTATGAAGCCTTCTGGCTGCCTCATATAGATTTCTTCCTCCAAATCACCATGAAGGAAAGCTGTCTTTACATCTAACTGCTCAAGATATAAATTTTCTGCAGCTACAATTTTCAACACCAGTCTGATTGTAGATAGTTTTACAACTGGAGAGAAAATTTCATTGTAGTCAATACCTTCCTTTTGCTGAAAATCTTTGACAACCAATCTTGCTTTGTAGTGTTTGCTCCCATCGTGCTCTTCCTTGATCATGTAAATCCACTTGTTGTGGAGCGCTTTCTTGCCTGGTGGTAATTCAGCTAATTCTCACGTCTGATTTGACATAAGTGAGTCCATCTCATCTTTCATGGAAGACTCTCACTTGACTGAATCCTCCACTTGCATTACTTTGCATTGCTTCATCATAGCACTCTGGTTCACCATTGTCAGTCAGCAACAAGTATTGCAAAGAAGGAGAATAACGTTGGGTTGGTTTAGGAATTCTGGATGAGCGTCTTAGTTCCGGTGTGCCTGGTTCTTCTTGAACTGCTTCAGGACTGATCTGAACATCATTTCCAGAAATCTTCTCGAACTCAGCAAATTCCTTTGTTTCATCTTTGGTATTGGAGCTGCTTGATTCTACAGTTGACCTATCTTTGTACATCACATTCTCATTGAAAATGACATATCTGCTTCTGATGATTTTCTGATTTTCATAGTCCCAAAACCGGTAGTCGAACTCATCACCACCATAACCAACAAAGACACATTTGTTGGACTTGGCATCAAGTTTACTTCTTTCAGCAGAGTTTATGTGTACATAAGAAATACAACCAAACACTCTTAAGTGTGAAAGGTTTATTTCTTTCTTGCTCCAAACTCCCTCTGGTATTCTGCCATCCAAAGGAACTGAGGGCCCACAGTTGATCAGGTAAGCTGCAGTGTTGATAGCTTCAGCCCATAGAAATTTGGGCAATCCGACATGTATCCTCATGCTTCTGGCACGTTCATTCAGAGTTCTGTTCATGCGCTCTGCTACGCCATTATGCTTCGGTGTCATGGGAACTGTTGTCTCCATCTTGATCCCATTGTTTGCGCAGAAATCTCTGAATCTTCTATTTTTTGTACTCTCCTCCATTGTCAGACCTCAACCGCTTAACTTTCAAACTAGTCTCATTTTCCACCATGGCCTTCCATTTTCTGAAGGTATCAAAGACTTCTGATTTCTTCTTTAGAAAATAAACCCACACCTTCCTTGTAGAATCATCGATGAATGTGACATAATATAATGAGCCTGTAAGAGATGGAACCGAAGATGGTCCCCATACATCAGTATGTACCAACTCTAACTTTTCAGCCTTGGGTGTCTTACCAATCTTTGCAAAGCTGACTTTCTTTTGTTTGCCAAAGATGCAATCCTCGCATAGTCCGACATCTACATTCTTTAGATCCGGCAGCTTCCCTTTTGACAAAAGTGTCTTCATCCCTTTTTCGCTCATATGAACAAGCCTTTGGTGTCATAGGTTTGATTTTCCATCAGCATCTGCTAATGCAATGATATTCTTTAAATTTGATGTTACATAGAGAGTACCAGTCTTCTTACCACGAGCAATGACGAGTGCTCCTTTGGTAATCTTCCATTCATAGCCTGAAAAGGTTATGTTATATCCTTCTCCATCAAGCTGTCCTACAGAAATCAAATTTCTTTTGAGGCCAGGAATATGTCTCATTCCCTTCAGCGTCCAGGTGGTCTGGTTTGACAACTTTAATCGGATGTCTCATTTTTCGACGATCTTCAAGGTTTCATCATCAGCTAGATGAACCCTCCCAAAATCACCACTGACATAGTTCTCTATGATTTCTTGGCATGGGGTGGAGTGGAAAGATGCCCCTGAATCCAAGATCCATGATTCAATTGGACTGTTGACGCTTAGAATCATGGCATCACTTGTCTCCTCTGTCATGTTGGCAGAATTATGTACGTTGGTATCTTTCTTCAGTGCTCGACAATCTCTTTTAAAGTGGCCCTTATTGCCACAATTATAACAGGTAAAATATTTCTTTTCTGTTCTTGATTTGCCCCTTCTGGATTTCGATCTGCCATGATTTGAATTTCTTTCTGAAGTTCTCCCTCTGGACTCCGTGTACAAGGCTGAGGAGGTTGATGCTTCACCCGATTCTCTCCGTCGAATTTC